ATAAATATAAAATATTGATTTGTTTTTTATTGCCTATTACAATTTTTTTTGAGTATGGGAGACAGTTGTGTGTTAAGAAAAGGTTTTGATTTTTGTCTCTACGAAATTTTTTATTTGAATATCTATTTTTTTCTTGTTAAACGTTACATCATGATTAATAATTTTGTATCTTTTCCAATAATATTTGCCCAAGAAAGAAAAACAATCACTTTAAACGGTTCAAGACTCTCCTAAATCTCTGGATCCAACTAAAAATAACATGTGGTTAAGTCCTTTTCACAAAGAAAAGTAGTTGACTAAAAAACAAAATAACATGTACATGTCTTTTATGAAATAATAAATGAAAAACATTTTAAAATACTAAAGTACTATTGTCTTTTTAATATTTTAAAATAATAAATGGAAATCAATTTACATTAATACAGGTCTCATTTTATTGATTAATTTGTATCAACTAAGAGCAATTTTAAAGCAGAGTTGTTAAACCAAAATTTTGTATAGCTTACGTTAGTAATAAGAAATTTGCATTATAATAGAGCTGACATGGCATATGGGATGCTCTAAAATTAGTTTACGTGCTCTACACAAACAACGTACTCTAACTCATTATTTAACATAAATAATAAATTTTTATTAATTATTTAACATAAATAATAGATTTTTATTAACCATTTAATACCAAATTTGAATTCCTTATAAACAATCACCATTGAAGTAAAAACTTCTTAATTCAATTTTGGATTGCTTAAACCCTTCCTGTCAATTTGGATCCACGTAAAATAACTTAGTTCATCCAATTTAGTTGCTCACATTAAAGATGCTCTAAAGCTTCAATACAAGAGGTCCAACCATCCAATCCAACAGTGCAAAGTTTAAATAAATTTTTTCATCATATATAATTGGTACATTTTGTTAGTATATTCATTCAACTTTTACATCGGATAGTAGAAAAATAATAAAATTTAAATATTAATATAATCAGTGATAATTAGTTTTACTTTTTTACACAACAATAAAATATTTTTTTTTGATGTTTTGATGATTTGGATAATTGTGTGTCTAGAATTTTATTTTATTTTTCTATTCAAAAATCAGTTGTTAAGAGAGTTTTTTATTTTTCGTTCAAAAATAGTTTGTTAAGAGAGTTTGCAATTTTTCAGTCCAAAAATTATAATTGAGAGAGTTTGTAATTTCTCCTTCCAAAAGTTGCAATTGAGAGAGATTACCATTTTTCCGTTCAAAAATGATCATTGAGAGAGGATTTGTAATTTTTTCGTTTAAAAGTTGTAATTGGGAGAAGGTTTGTAATTTTTCTATTAAAAAAGTTACAGTTTGAAGTGTTTGCAATTTTCTCCTTAAAATTGCAATTTTATGAGATAGCTTGTAATTTTGTTTTGTAAGGATTTAAAGGTTAATAATAAATTTGTGACTTTTGTTTTTTGAATTTTTTTTGGTACTCTATTTCTTTTTGTGGGTACACTTTTGCGTGAGTAGAATTTTTGTTATTTTTGTTATTTCTAAGACGATTGGTATCAGAGTTAAGGTTCCGATCAAGGGAAAAGGAGGAGTAACAATCACTACTATAAAACGCGTAAACAACAACGCCAAAATAACAACGGTTTCATATTCACCATAGCAATATGTGATATTTAGGAGCGTGCATTTTTTTTATTTTATTAAAATACTTTTAATCACGGTTAAAATTCCAACCGTGGTGAAAAGTGAGACCTTTCACCACGGTTATTTAAAAAACTATGGTTATAGGTAGCGTTTGGTCATGAGTTCAAACACCAACACTTTTGGTTTTTTACTTATTTTTTTAAAATGGTGACAGAACTTTCACCACGGGTATTTAAAAAAGTGTGATTATAAGTAGCGTTTTTTACTTTTTTTTTTTAAATATTGACAGACTTTTCACCACGAGTATTTAAAAAATTGTGATTATAGGTAGTATCTCGTCATGGGTTCAAGTCCCAACACCAACATTTTTGGTTATTTATTTATTTTTTCAAGTCGCAGCACCAACATTATAGGTGACGCGCTTATTGAGTTTATTCACTGTCCTTAAACAAATCGTGACTGTCCATTTAACGTTTATCAACGTCCAAGACACTACTATTAATGATCCGTGTGAAACCTAAAACTTAGCCAAATTTCCAACTTATACGAACTACATCTTCTACCTCCAAACATCATCTTTCATTTAAGATACTCTATTTCTCCACTAAACCAAACTCGAAAAAGACATTTCTTTCATAAACAAAACTCGAAAATATCATTTCTTTCATTAACAAATTTAGAACTTCATCATCTCTTCTACAACTTGAATGAGACAAGGAATGGATTTGAGTTAGCAATGTTAGTTGTTGGTGCCTTTTTTTATTATTGTTGTTCTTGTTGTTATTATTGTTGTTCTTATTGTTGTTTTGTTGTTGATTCTTTTGTTTTTGTTGTTGTTGTTGTTGTTGTTCTTCTTCTACTTCTTGTTATTGTTGTTGTTCTTTTTTTGTTCTTGTTTTTGTTGTTGTTCTCATTGTTATTCTCATTGTTTTTTTGTCACTTGTTCTTGATGTTGTTGTTGTTGTTGTTCTAATGCTGCAATTTTTTTTTAATTTTATTAAAAGACATACAACAGTGGAAATTTAAAATAACTGTGATAATAGTTAGTTATAATGTTGTATTATTTTTAATTTTAGTAAAAGACATACAACAAAGGATATTTAAAATAAACGTGATTATAGGTGGTGCGCTTTCCAGTTTATTATAATGGTTACTAGGTCGTGATTGTAAGTATCATATATACAACGACACTCTACATAACAACGCTTGGACCTGCGTGATTATATATCTTTCTCAACCGTTATTAAATGATTTTTCCGTAGCAGTGAATTATTTTGATCAAGGGAAAAAGAAGACAAAAAGATGGAAGAGTAATAATTTAACAAATATGGCTAATCATTATAGTTATAATGATCGCTTTGAAGATAAAGATAAAGGCAGCGTGAAGATATATGAAACTTTGAATGAATGGAGGATTTGTTGGGTCATATAGTATATTCATTCAAGTTTCACACAGGGTAATAGAAAGAGAATATAATTTGAATATTAATATAAGTAGAGATAATTAGTTTTACTTTTCTACGTAACAACAAAATGTAGTCTTTTGGTTGTAATGAAGATTTTGGTAGTTGTTGTCTATATAAATTTTTTGTTTTTTCCATTTAAAAATAGGTTGCTGAAATAGTTTTCTATTTTTCCGTTTAAAAATAATTTGTTGAGAGGGTTTGTAATTTTTTTGTCCAAAAGTTGTAGTTGAGAAACGTTTTGCAATTTTTTCTTCTAAAAATTGCAATTGAAAGAGGGTTTAGAATTTTTTCGTTCAAAAATTATAATTGAGAGAAAGTTTGCAATTTTTCTGTTCAAATATTGTAATTGAGAGAAGGTTTGTAATTTTTTCGTTCAAAAATTACAATTCGGAGGGTTTGCAATTTTCTTAAAAATTGCAGTTATATGACAGAGTTTGTAATTTTGCCTTGTAAAAATTTGAAACGGAATAATAAAGTTGTAATTTTTGTTTTTTTGAATATTTTTTTTGTTCTTTTTTATTTTCTGGACATGTTTCCGCGTGCGTAAATATTTATTTATTTTTTTTATTCTCTCAAGACATTTGAGATTTAAGATACACTTTTCTAATCTAATAATTTCACTTGACTTATCTTTGATTTTGTAATTGAATTAGATGTTAGAGTGCAGTCTTGTTGGGTCACTCCTGCCCTACCGTATCAAAGATCAACACCATGATCAACACTACTGCGTCAAGAGTCCATCATCACCAATCAATTATAATTTTGGTTCCAGTGCGAAATAACGGAGTCGTCTTGTTGGAATCAACCTCCAAAATCCCGGAAATTCCATTATTAAATATCATTTGAAGAAAAGTCAGATCACAATGGAATCACAATAGAAAGGAGAAATTCATCCCCAACCTCGTATCAAAGAACTCCTCCTCTAAACCTCCTGATCCAACAATATTATACTGATTGTGATTAAGAATATTTGAAAGGAAATGCTATGACAAGGACAGTCCCCTCGTTATTTCCAAATATTACTATATCGGGAAAGAAAATGAAATAAACTAGACATATGCTATTGCAGTAGAGAAACGAACCTCTGATACAAAAAATTTGAGTTTTCTCATATCGTCCCAATAGGTCAAATTATTCTATAATATTCAAACTATAATGGCAGCTCGGTGAGTGATAAGATAGATTTCGGGCACATCGGTTGTGGTGGAATGAGAAGATAAAACCTTCATGTATCTAGCAAATCTATTTCTACCATATATGGCATGGAAACTGCATGTGAGAGTCAAAACCCACGATAAAAAAATGGAAGAGTTCTATCAAGAAATAAAATCCTTGGAAACTTATTCCATCAAAGGTAAAGTCGACTACTAAATGAGCACATACAAAATCATGCATTACAACCTTGAGGCTAAGCATTGTTAACATCGATCAATGCTTCATTCCGGGCCACCTTGTGTAGCTCAAGTTGCAATTGAAGAACCTGAACACCTAGGAGAAGCACTTCCAGTTGGTTGATCACTTGGTTGAAAGCTCTGTACACCCCTTTAACAGTTTGGTTAAGTTTATCGTTGACTTCACATGCTTGTCAATATGAGATTACATCGCCGCAACAACGATGGTTACCTCTAACCAATTTATCAAAAAATTAATTTTACATTGTATCAAAATATAACGTTAATTGTTTTTTTAATATCAAAAGTTATATAGTGAAAAATAAGAAAAAGAAAATATAAGAAAAAAAAAAGAAACCATCAAATAGAATATCACTTTATCAAAATCTATTATTTGAAATAGATTTAGTAAGAATTACTAAAACCTTTGTACAGCTATAACTCATAATTTACAAGGAAAAAAAAAAAGAAAGAAATTTGAGTTCCAATTAAGAAACTCAAATAATCATAGATATGTTACTAGCTAGCTCTCATGACTGATCTCCAATATTTCATCATTATTCATCACTTCAATATTCTTCACGAACATTTTGGAGCGTGGTGCTGCAAATCGAGCAGAGAACGACACTGAAAAATGATCAGGATCATTGAAATAACCATCATCAAAATTCTGTAAATAAGAGTTAGGATCATAGAGAAAAATAGATGAAGATGTTCTAAAAGTTTTCATCTTTTTTTCTCTCTTGATCTTCCTCCACAGTGTTTTCAACTTTGCTATCTTAATTTTGCTCATAAATTCATTGACACATACAATAGGGTCGTGGCCAATTCTCTCGTAACTTGACCAAATGTTTCTGTTTCTTGATCCTAGACAGTTGCAATTTTCAACATCCATAGTATTAATGTATGGAGTAGATAACAAAGGAAGCATAAAATGATTTAATGAAACGATATGTTTGGAGTGAATGCTTTAAGACTAAAACTAAAGACTATTTATATAGTGATGGCATGAACCACTTTCCTTTCTCCATTTTCATTTTCTTCCTTTTCCAGCTCATTAACATGCATATTTTGAGCTAGATAGGACCAAGAAAAAGGAAAAGAAAAAAGTTGGACAATATTACATCAATATTTAAAGTTCCTTTTGTGTCAGCAATTCAAATTGGTATGATAATGTTTTTTGGGAGATTCTTAGTAGTGACTGTAATACTACGTAGTCAGATGAGGCATCTTTTAAAGATTCATGTAGTCATATTATGCTTGTTTTATTTTAGGATAGAAGTATATTTTTTTAGTGGAGACACACTTTAACAGTCTATGTCATACTGATAAAAATATATTTATAGATAAGAAACAAATTACATAGATATTTTATAGAATAAATATATCTTACCACGACCTCTTTGAAGTCATTATTTATGCACTATTGAAAAATCGTTTCTTTCGATGTATTGAGCGGTGTATAATGAAATTTTGGCACGAAGACCTTAGTGAGCACCCTGATCTTTGTCATCTCAGCACTTGTGCCATAACAAATATTCGTTGAGTTTCTTGATCTTTGATCTTTTGTTTTTTTCTACCTCGTTTTCTAACAACTTTTCTTCATTAATAATATACAGTCAAGCTCCAGTGTGAAGGTCACTCATGCTTCCAGCTCCTTTCAGTTCTAACTTTTCACAAAATATAGAGTCTTTTTAAATCCTTTTTAAATCCTCTAATATACGATATTTTATTAAATGTTATATATACTAATACGATATATAACAAAAATAACGATATGTCCTAGTCATTAGATGTAATGGTCAAGCGTGCACTATTTACTGAAATATAATGGGTTCAAATTCCATACTCAGACATAAATTTTTAATTTATTTTACCAACTCTAACAACTTTAATCGGTCATTAAATTAGGTCATTGAATGCGTCTCAAATTTGGTCACAAAATTTGTCGTTAAAGGTTAGCGATTAACACTTTTTTAATAGAAAAGTAGAAGTCGATGGTCGATGAACGTTAAAATGACTGATTTTTAAGGTTATTTCTTCCCTAATTCGGTCGATAAACGCGAAAATTCTAATAATGGATTGAAGTTTCTTAGAGGTTTCACCTTGAAGCAAGTGAGTTGGTTGATATGTGGAGGAATTAGAGCTTTAGGAGTTGAGACGATTATATAAGTTTCTAAGACGATTATATAAGTTTCTAAGACCACATCGCACTACGACATTTTTACAACAACGAACAATACCGTTTCAAATCTTGAGAACACCGTTGCCATAAGATACAAAAACAATGTTTAGGCTGTAGAAAATCGAGGTGTTGCCCTAGCCTTGCGCAATGATTTTTATACCAAAAGACAACACCTTGCTAATAACTGTTGTTTTAGGTATCTTTATATAACGGTTTTCAGAGTTCAACAAGAAGGGTTTGTATCAGTTCTCAACTTATATCTGTTGTGATTTATATATTCTAGAACAGTTTATCACTATTGCTCATTTAAAACCATTATGTTAGACTCATCTTTATGTGACCTCTTGAGTGATTAAATCAACTATTTAGTAGCATATAAAGTTTTTTTTAATAAATTAGTATTAACAAAGTATGGTGTAAATCTATTTATTTATAAACCTTGTAAATAATAATTATCAAATTTAATAGTTTTATTCGTATAAAATTTTAATATGATCTTAAATTAAAAAAAATACATAATAAAATAACATTATAATCACAACATTCACATATATTTCATCATTCAAAATTAAAATAACATCTTTAAAATGACCAAGAACATCTATTAAAAAAACTTAAACATCTACATAACAAAAAATAATATTCACAATCAAAAAATATCTTTCATGCCTTCCAATAGCTTCATTCGTCTTGAGATTTAAAAGAGAATTCTGAATAGGTTGAGGTTTAACATAAATGACATTATAATGGATGCTCCAATCGGCTCCCTCGGCATGAAGAAGTGGAACTTCTTGTGTGGGAGTGAGGATTGGTGTGTCGACTTTTGTCCTGACAACATTTTGATCGATGGTAGCTATCTGAGTTGAATAAGAAGCTATTATCATCAATGAAAACCGTTAGCAGCGCTTAGATCGAGATATAAAAGAGTTGCAACAATGCAACGAAAAGGGTTTGACAGATTTTACGTGGAAATTCCTAAGAATCAGAAGACAGTTTTCATAGACGGTGTCACTATTACAGTGTAAAACAAAAAGTTGATTATGTGTAGGTATGAGTTCTTCCAATGTGGTTGTGCAGGTATCGAGTACGATAAATATGGGTGTGTCTGTAAGGCTAGCTATCCAACTCTCAAGTCAGCGAGGTTATAGAGGTGTAACTTGTAAAAATGAATGAAAAGTACATCATGACATGTGGACAAGCTTATATATGATGGGCGTTTAAAACTTCTCCTAATTGGTTCATCGTATAATGTGGAAGACATTCCAGATGGATCCAATAAATGACGATAAGTGAGTCGTTTGGATCCAACGTGTGGTCCTCTGGAAAAGTTCTACATGTTTATCGCTCTTTCTTTAGGGCATTCTGAATTTGGCCTTTGGTTTTTGGTTGGTCTTGTTGGGTTTATTAGCACGCCTAGAGTAATGGCCATGACATGTCGTCTTATTTTGTACGTAGTAACACATGTGTTGATCCCAAGATAATTAAACCATTGTTAACTGATGAGAAAAAATGTGGTTATTACTTGGCTCCTAGATAGCAACTTCCGAACCAACTAGGCAATGGGGCAATTAAACACATATTGGATTACATAAGGAATGGTTATTAACCACCCTAGGAATGGTTATTATTAGAGGTGACAATTGAATCCATTAAGGTAAAATCCATCCAATCCATCCATCAAAAAATCCATCCAATCCATCCACCACACAAAAAATAAGTTAATGGATGGGATTAAATCCATCCATTTATATGCATGGATGGATTCAATCCATCCAACATATTTTAAGGATCCAATGGATTATTTTTATTTTCGTTAGATTTATTTTTTTAAAAATAGATTTTTTTTAAATAATTAAAAAATTATATTTTTTTTTGAAAAAAAAAAAGTTTAATTGTTTTTTGAAAAAAACTCTGTTTTTTTTCGAAAAAAATCGGTTTTTTTTCAGAATAAAAAACTGATTTGTTTTTCGAAAAAAAATATAATTATTTCTCGAAAAAAAAACGACTTTTTTTTGGAAAAAAAATTGGTTTTTTTTCAGAATAAAAAACTGATTTGTTTTTCGAAAATAAAATAAAATTTTTTCTCGAAAAAAAATCGACTTTTTTTTTCCGAAAAAATCGGTTTTTTTTTCAGAATAAAAAAATGATTTGTTTTTCGAAAAAAAAACGACTTTTTTTTTTGGGAAAAAATCAGTTTTTTTTTCAGAATAAAAAACCGACTTTTTTTTTGGAAAAAAATCAATTTTTTTTCAGAATAAAAAACTGATTTGTTTTTCGAAAAAAAAATCGACTTTTTTTTTCGAAAAAAATCTGTTTTTTTTTTCAGAATAAAAAAATGATTTGTTCTTCGAAAAAAAAAACTGACTTTTTTTTTTTTGAGAAAAAATCAGTTTTTTTTTTCAGAATAAAAAACCGACTTTTTTTTGAAAAAAAAATGATTTTTTTTTTCAGAATAAAAAACTGATTTGTTTTTCGAAAAAAAAAACGACTTTTTTTTTGGAAAAAAATCGATATTTTTCAGAAATTAAAATATCAATTTTTTTTGAAAATACAAAAAATTCAGTTTTTTTAATAAATATATTAAAAAATATTTTTTTTAAATACAAAAAATAAAATTTTCAAAAATAAAATAAAATCAATTTTTTAAAAATAAAGAAATATATTTATTTTTACGAAATAAAAAAAAAAGTTGGATGGATGGATATCCATCCATTAAAAATATGTTAATGGATGGATTGGATGGATTTTATTCTTAATGGATGGATTGGATTGGATAATTTTAAGAAAGTTTTAGTGGATCGTTAATGGACTAATGGATCGTTTTAATCCATCCATTAACAATCCAATCCATATCCATCCAATCCATCCATTTTGCCACCCCTAGTTATTATCACCAGGATCTTGAAGCATGTCAAATTTAGTTTAGAATAAAGGGAGTGCAGGACAGGCTCCTCAAATATTAGGTCAACAAATGTGATTCTGGTGAAAGACTTAAAACGTGATGGTGTTTTGTTTTAATTCTCGTAATGAACAAGCTCCCCCCCCCCCCCCCCCAACAACTAAAGCAAGAAAATCTAGAAGAGTTTGAATTTGAGATGCCTTTAACACCTATTATAAAAGCTCTCCTTCAAATAATTCTTCCAACTACTCAAGACAACAACATGATGCTTTATCGGGTGACTACCAAAGTTGACTTTATCATTGACCACTTTGCTAATATGTTGGTTTATGTTCCTCTTGAGTTTATGTGTGGGGATGATGATGGTGCCAAGTATTAGCTTTCTATAGCTTCTATATATATGTGTGTTTTTATTTTGCTTATCGTTGTTTTCCTACTCCATGTCATTTTCATCTTTCTATTTATGAAATATTTTGGGTTTTACATCTTATTACACGTATTCAATGTATTTTTATTCTATGTGTTGCCATATATTTTTTCCCGCATTTTATTATGCAAAAGGGGGAAAGTATATTCTCTAAGGGAGCATATATATAACAATTGTGGAAAACCTATGGTGATTCATAGAGATGGAAAATGTGATTTTTGTCTTATCTTCTTAGTGTGTTCATCTTTACACCATATTTTTCTCTTCTTTTCCAAACACCAACCTTTTGATATTAAACCCATGTCAATTCTTTATCTTTTTTGTTGCATCTCGTCTTATTTAATTTGGTTGTCATTCTTTTTTTTAAATTTGAGAATGAATTGA